ATTTTCCATGACAGCAATGGGCAGAATGAGATCAATAGGAATTTTCACAGCATCACCTTATTTCATTTCTCATTAACTTTTTCAATCAGCCATTTTTATTGCCAATACCTTAATGTTATTTCATGTCTCTTTCTTGGCTGGCTGGCATAGTTTCTCTGCTTGCCCGCCTTCCTTTTACACTAACCCATTAGTATGTTGCTCGAGGCAATTTCAAGCATCAAGATTTCACTTATTTCAAAACAGTGGACATAAATCCCAGGAAAATTACAGCTCAGAGTATACTGCAGAGGTCTTGCCTCGCAACCCATCCTGGGCTCCCCATCTGCATGGCCAATCTGCTCCTATATTTTCAGCCAGCTTGAATGGGCAGATTGATGGGTACAATTAGAAAGCGTCCTCATAGGCATTAGAACTGCCTTCATTACTACACTCAAGAGGGGGTCTATAGAAGCCTCGTTTTCTGCCAGTTAGCTGAATACTTGACACTGGCCAAACAGGCATGAGCAATAGCAGAATGAAGCACAGCCACAAGCAATTTCAAAGAGGGCTGGGTTTTCTGGTTTTATTTTTTTGTTTTGTTTTGTCTTGGGTATGGCAAATGCTTCTGAGTCCTGTGACTGTGTCTTTGTGAGGGAAGGGCCATGATGTTGTCTGCCTTTAGCAAGACTATGTTTCCTTGTCTTCTGTTTCAATGCAGGACCATCATATTCTGAAACTATAAAGTGGCTGTTTTAATAGGCAAACTTGAATTGCTCCTGCTCAATAGAAACATCCTTCATGGCAAAACTCCTGCTGAAGATGAATTCTAAGCAGAATGTAAAACAGAGTCAGCGGCTGCACTGTTCTTAGCATTATGGAATCATAGAATAGTGAAGTTGGGAGGGGCCTATAGGGCCTGCTCAATGCGGGAATACAAATCAAAATACTGAAACATGCTGCCTCCAGCTGCACCTGAAAGGAACAGCTCAATCACATTTGGTATCTGTCACATTAAAAAAAAAAGGGGGGGGAAGACTTGCATTATCCCTTATCCCGCAGAGTAGAAGGTGATGCTCCCGTCTGGGACACATCCACATCACTGAGATTGCTTTGAGCCACAGTGGTCATCGTAGGATTCTTCAGATGCTATTGGACAATAACTCCAATGGGCCAAAGTCAGCACAGCCAATGGTGGAGGATTATGGAAGCTCCAGGGCAACAATCTCTGAAGGGCAACATGTTGCCTCCCACATTTTGAACAATAATTTCAGTCAAGAAAAGTACATCAGTAACCTCAATGAAGTACGTACAGTGGTGCCTTGCACAGCAAGGTTAATCCATTCCAGATTAACCCTCGCTGTGTGAAAGCATCGCTGTACGGATCAAAAAAAGCCATTGGAACGCATTAAACAGCGTTTAATGCGTTCCAAATGGTCAAAAACTCACCGTACAGCGATGCTTTTCCGGGTCCGGCAGCCATTTTCGCGCGCTCGGTAAGCGAGGGGAGGGCGCGAAAACGCTGTGCGCAGCCATTTCGGCTGTTCCGGCGGCCATTTTGGACCCGCCAAACAGCTGATCGGCGGGGCGCAAAGCGAAGGTCGGTAAGCGAACCGCTTACCGACCTTCGCTCTGCGATTTTCGCCCTATGCGGGCACCGTTTTGCAATTGCATTTGCGATAGCAAAACTGTCCTCGTAGAGCAGCTTCATCGCTCTACGAGGCGCCCATTGTGCGAGGCACCACTGTATAAGGACAAGCATAGCTAAAGTATTCGTGAAGGCTTTCACGGCCGGGATCTAATGGCTGTTGTGGGTTTTCTGGGCTCTTTGGCAGTGTTCTGAAGGTTGTTCTTCCTAACGTTTCGCCAGTCTCTGTGGCAGTCATCTTCAGAGGACTTGACAGCACACAACTGTTGCTGTTGTTGCTGTTCTGGTTCCAAATCAGGACAGCAACTGTTAAATCAAGCAAGTACTATCTCACCCTCCTTATTTCAAACATTTCAAGCTATTCATTTCCCTTCCCTTCAAGAAGCATGACTGTAGTAGATGTCATTTGTGGAGTATCAAAAATACAAGCCACTAGATAATTAACTGCATTTGAAGCATTGCTACTAGCCTCAGAAAATATCCGGGGGGGGGGGGC